GCACGCACGCACGCACGCACACACGCACGCACACACGCACGCACGCACGCACGCACACACGCACACACACACGCACGCACGCACGCACACGCACGCACGCACACACACACACGCACGCACACACCCTATTCAAAAAGTTACATAAAGAAGTAAATAATTTTTGAACGACACAAACTACCCACGTACTGAGATATTCACTAAATGATCTTAGAGAACGGAGGGCAGTGACGTAACCGCTTATCTGCAACTCTGCCTTGGCCTTTGCCTTTGAATTTCACCCTTCGCTTCCTAAAAGAAGTAACTACTTAGAAGTACAACTACAGTGAAACATGAGTGTACAGAATTATTTGACACATTAAAGTGAAACGTGAGTGTACACAAATATTTCGATTTCTAGAGTATGTACTATTTTTTCACACTATTTGCTATTTCTTCAAACTTTTGCTCTTTATTCTCACTATATTTGAAGCTGCGATAAAGCTTCACACCCCGAGGAAGTTTCAGAGCATTTTAAAAAAATTATGTCATGTGAAATGAAAATTATAATTCCCTAAAGATAAACAGTTATCATTGAGATAGACAAGTATCATTGTTCTCGGTAATCTGCCGGACTAATATCCCGACTTCCATTTCTTACAGACTTACGGATTAAAATCGCAAATCCCTCAGGAAGTTGTGTCTATCTAATACAGGTCCACAACTTGTGCCTGGGCACTATTCGTGGCGCCAGGTGTCCGTTTAAAAGAAGTGAATAATACTACAATTTAATACACATTAAAATTTTTGACGTTTCGTCAAACTATATTTCACCTTTTCGCAGAAACTGATACAAAAACAGAAATTGGTACAACTTTGCTTGTTTGGATAATTGACAACAATGTATTAGAATTAAGTGAACAAATTTACCTTGTGTGATAATTTAGAATATTAACATATTTAGGACATCAATTTGGAAGGTCCGGAAAACTGATGAAAAACTGACAGAATAAAAATATAATACGTTCTTAACTTAATCTCAATAGTTTGAGTTAAACTATTATTCAAATGCTTTCCTTTTATGAGTATATTTCTTGATGTTAAAATACGTGGAAACAAAGTCAACAGTTGAATATTAAATTTAAAAATCACTTACAGAGGAAATATTTACACGTAAAAGTTATTTCACATTTCGAAAAAAAAACAAAACAGTATGTTCAAAGAATAAATGGCAGTAAGACACAGTTTCATAATACACCTCTGTAGTTCACAAGTAGTGCATCCTTACTAGCAACCTGGGCCAAGTCAGACTTTAGTTGACTTTTGCGGTGACGTTCAGGGATATGAAATGCCTCTTTCTGCCCACGTAGATTCATATATTTCCATTAGATACAGGGCGTATGTTGCATTTCAAGATAATTTCCGTCGAATTTCAGGAGCGGTTGGGGGGGAATGAGAGATATGAATCTGTTGGGAATGGAAGTTCTGTCGCGTAGATGTGCTTTCGAGATATAGCCTCAAGCGAACGAAGAACGGGCGTTTTAAAATTAGTCAACCAGGTCAATGACGCCACTATTTTAACTCTTCATTAGTAGGCTCCATGTATAAGACAATGGAGGGTACTATAAGCTACACAGCTATAAATATTACAGAGAGAATCGCGCGAACAAATCTAAGAACTGAATGAGAGACTGAATGGAATAATAGTGACGAGCAAATAGAAATAATTTCATATTATACAGTTCATTTTACCGAGAGAAATATTGCAAATAAAATTGCAAAATTATTACTTTCGTGAACGTATTCGGGTAGAGTGGACGTTTACGAGAAATGTGTACATTTTAGTTCATAATATCCTTTAACATTTAATATTCTTTTTAAATTAATAAGATATATTGTTATTAATATTTAATGTTCGAGTACAGCCAAATATATTAGATTCCAGAGAATGAACTCATAGCTCGTGAAAAATATTTTTACAGGAAAGCAAATATCATGTATTTCATTTACTGTAACTTCTCCTAACATGAACAGACTACTCAACTTGTTTTAATAAAATTAATTATCTCAAATTATTGTTCTTTGCGCGAATAAGAAGACGATTCGACTATCTTGTATGTTTTAGATTTTATGAAATTTTTATGATGTTCGTAAATACTCATCTTCCCATTACTCACCAACCAGATATAATTTAACTGATCTCATATACACAAATGTAGAAATAATTAGAATAATACAGTAGTGTACCGTATCTCTCTTTTTCAGCAAATATTCATTAGGGCAAAGTAAAGTCGGTATCAATCTCTTCAGAGAGGATTTCATAATTTTATTATGTTATTGTTTTAAAGAATGAAAGCTGTTTTTGGAGACTCATTTACTTCCTAAACTTATTTTTACCTATAAGAATAGTGATTGATTGATGACTCCGGGCGCGACAACTACCGAGGTCATTAGTCCTGTAAATGTAGTGAGCGTTTTCCCCTCTGGAGGTGGGAGTGATCTTTTCCCGCTGGATGGCGAGATCCGGCGCCAACCTACCATCGGCTAGAGGGTAACTGCCCCAGCTGGGACAAGCTCTAAGCTCCCGACCTGCCTCCCGGAATGCGTGGTACTTTTAGTGAAAGCTAGTGTTGAAAATCTTGCCACCGAGACTCTAACCTAGGTCCTCCCGATCAGAGGGATTATAGTGACGCCAGTTGATGCCCTGAGACATCTCTCCCATTGAACAATTCAACACCAAGAACAGTAAGAATAATTCCGAACCATACTCATTTCAGAAGCAGGCTTAACTCAGTGTTTTGTTAATACGAAAATAGCAAGGGTCATAGATATTGAGAAACCAGAAGAAAAAAAATGAAGGAATAATAGAGTGATCTTCAGTCTGTAATCAGTTTCCGAACCACAAATTAAGAGATCACGAGAAGGAAATAAGGAAATAAGAAAATTACGATCGCTTTGACATAGCATTGTATGTGTTCTATTTTCCAGTAAATGGAAGATCATAACAAAGCGCCAGGTAAGTAATAATAACAGATTCTTTTGTTACTTTTGCATTACGTCTTCAGAGGCAGAACTGCTCAGTACCAGTCATTTTTTTTACTGAGGCACTTCTCCAGAGCAATTCTTTTCAACGTGAAAAAGATAGACTAGCAACTTTATTGCACTGTGTATTACAAGTTAAACAAAAAAAATCACTGAAGTTAAGTAAAACATTCACATTAGTCTAAAAACTAAACCTAATGCTTTGTAGTAGTATTTATGTGATTAAGTGTGTCTCAAAATTTCAATTATTGCAACATGGTGAACTAAATCTATTTTGTTGTCAGAAGTATTTCGTGCGGTGCATAAATAATAACTTGGCTGACTGCAACCTATGAAGATCCAAATTCATTACTTAATTGTTTTGTCGCTCTATTTTGTATCTGCACTATTAATCAAAAGAATCTGCTCATATATTCTTATTAATGGGTACGTAATTCCTGCATTTGACTAACGTTAATGGATATATTATATTAACCAAGGTAAATTAAGTAAATATCGAAAGATGTTTTGAAGAGATGTTAGTTTGCAATGCTGCACACTATATGACAATGACCTTATCAGAGAACATTACTCAACTCGAAAAGTGTCACTGTAATAGAAATATTACAAATTTTACGTGAAAAAAAGTTGACCACTTTTAAATTACCATAGCTTCGTGCATTTTCATCATAAATTCAAGGAAAATTGAATGACTAGCCTTTCAGGGCGGGTCAAATAATATGATCATCTGTCCCGTAAGTACGAATATCCCGGCAGATGGTCTCCCGCCACATCTAGAAGGCGAGCATGAGCAAGTGCATGCGCGCGTGAGCCAGCGAGGATGAATTTATTGAAAACAAATAGAATACGGTATTGACAATTTTGGGGGCATTGTTGATTGAATGTGCCCTGTATTAATTTGCTGTTAGGTGTCGGAAAAAATGGGGATGATTTTAGACTTTTTATGATTGGTCATTCTTTTTTTGGTATATCTGTGAGAGTCTCAGCGGAGGGTTTTTTTTGGTTTGGAGAGGAATGGATGAGGTAAATATCCATTACTCTCACAATATGTTTAAGAGGATGTCGAATATGTCTGAAGCCGTAGTAAAAATGTACGAATGTACTGAAGTCATTTTTTATTGCATATTTTTTGGTTCTTTTGCTGAATTGAAAATTTCAGTACTCAGTGATATGTTTTAGTTTTTTCCTGACATCAGCTAGTTTTGTCCTGTCCCTGGTTTGAATATTAGTCTAGTGATCCCGTTATAGAATGTCGACGGTAAGTAGTTCGCAGGAGAAGTCCCTCAGGTTTCAGAAGGGTAGGTCACTATGGGTTTAAAGAAGGTACTGTACATGTGTGCATTTTTATTTGTATTTTATTTATAATACATATATAAAATATAAATAATTTATTGTATATGTAAGTATTGGAAACCATGCATTTGTAAGAGTGTTGGCCTCTTTCTTCCTTTCCTCAATATGTTTTGTCCATAATAGTCCTGTCAATCGTATGACATTTTATTCCAAGAGTCTCATTTGATTTCACGACTATATTTTTATAGGTGGTTCTACACTTCGATTTTGCAATTGTTCCAAGGTAAAATTGTGATTCTACATTTCTGGAATTTATCTTAAAACGGTTGTGAATGGTCCAGTCTGTTAGTAGGTCGACTGTTAGTCGTTTTTCTGGGTTTGTGAAAGAATTTACTCTCACTTGCAATGACACAGTTAACAGTTTTTGATTGTCACAAAAACTTGGAAGCTATTAGAATAACACAAATTTGCGACTTCTCTTCAAAAATGGTCGTATTTTCGCGCGAAGAAATTAACTTATTACAAAAATAAAATAAAAAGTATCTTCTTTAAATTTAAATGATTTGGATTTATATTACGTACCACCATAATGCTTTCTATTTTAAATAGTCCTAAACGTTTATAAAGCTTGTGACATGTGTTAAATGTCACCCAAAGCAAGCTACATTGAATTAAATAATTGTTCTCACCATTCATGCTGTAGATGGGCTGACCGAACATATAGGCACCCGGGTACATGTAAGCTTGCGGCTGAGGCGGGGGATGCGGCTGCACAGGGTGGCCGTGAGGGTACACGGCATACTCGTCCGCTCCGTTCATGAGGCCAGGCAGCGCAGGCAGCATGCCGTCCTCGCCCTCGCCCTCGCCGTCGCACTCCCCTTCGCCATCGCCCTCGACCTCGCCCTCACCCTCGCCTTCCTGAGGGCTGCCGGGAGGGTCGGTCGACTCCGAACTCTGCGGACTGCAATTCTGCAAACAGATGCGACCATCCTTCAGATTGCTACACACAACTATCTCAGAGAGTTTAGAGCATCTTAAAAAACTGTACACAAACCATTTATTGATACTTAACTCCTTTTCTAAATCTTTACATTTCACAAGGGATGCAACTCCGTTTACACCCTTATACCAAATCTAACCGAACAAAATATATCAGAATTATCAATAAAACAAAATTCTAAAAACACGTATGTAGACAAATAAAAAATAGGATTTTCTGTTAGAGCTCTAGTAAAACATTACAAGATATGGAATGTAACATGAAAACAGTTACACCACATGGGTCGTCCGGGTTCAAAATACACATCAATTAGTTACGGTCGACAATCACTTAAGTTTTGCTACCTTGCCAGGGATTTTTCGAATATTCATTTGAAAACTAACGATGAAATTATTATTTTCTAATATTAAGAGCAATTGCCTAAAATTTGGAATCTATGCAGTTGAGTGTGCTCCATGTATGGAATTGCTGGAGAATGAAACCTCTCACCAATAGTTGTTTAAATGTTAGGCTATGTAATTTGCTATTTCAGCATTAACACATTCTAAGATATCCGTTTACGATCGATTTTTAAGTTATAACTAATTTAAATATTGAACTTCTGACTGTTAAAGACTGATGGGCTTTTTATTTATTTCTATCCTTAACGTCAGAACAGTTAAAACCTGCGATGTACTATGGGGAGAAGTGAAATATGTGTATGGTCTCTTGAGCTCAGGGATGTCTGTTGTAACTGGTATACATATTAAGTTGAATGATGTATACATGTAGCAACGAGTGTTTTTGGCAAGAATGGATACGAAAATGTTTTGCAGAGGCAAATCACCTACAGCTGTAGGCTATCATCCCAGCGCTTCACGCTAAGGAATCTACTTACAGCCTCGGAAAAGGGGAAAGCCATGACCCGCATCGGCAGAGCAACGTAGGGCTCACCTGGGAGTCCGCCGAGCAGCGCTTCCGCCGGTCGCGCTCGCGCGGGCAGTGCGGCAGCGCGGGCGCCACGTAGGGCACGCCGTACGCAGGGTTGAACCACTCTATGGGCTGTAGCGGCAGCGGCTGGCACGGCACGGCCGCCAGCACCGACGCGCCGCCGCCGGGTCCCGCGAACGGCGGCGCGGGCCCCACCACCACCGTCACGTTTCCGTACGGGTCGTACCACTCGTAGCCACCTGCGCACGCACACAACGCGTCACGTCACGTTCGAATTGTTCTCGTCACAAAAGAGATTGGGATTCGCGTGTGTGTGTGTACGCATGCATGTGTACATTTATGCATATGGATTCGCTGTATGCGTATGTATATTAGTGTTATCTATAGTTTTGGCATTACAGATAATCTCGTGTTTTAAAACTATTTACAGCAGGCCCTTCTATCAACATTTGAAATGCTTAGGATAAATTAAAATGCTTAGGAGTACTGTGATCATTCAGCGACGTACTTGTATCGTACATATACTACGTTAACGTTAACAGACGTCTCTCTCAAATGATACTAAGAAATGTCAATTGAAATAGACCGACATTGTCCAAAAGTTTTGAAATATCTGAAGCTATTGCTTGTAAAAATGTCCATGAAAATGTTAGCGCGTCTATTCCAGGTCCATTGTCAATTCAGGCCCCCCAGGAGCGACCACGTGCTCAGGGAGACGAGGTGTCGTGTGGGAGCTTACCGTTGACGTAGATGACTCCGTCCACGTAGCCGTTGGGGTAGATGTACTGCGGCTGCTCGTCCGCGGGGCTCAACACTTCGGCCTGCTCTCCGGGCTGCGGTTCGCAGTCCCCTGCAACGTGAACAGTCTGCGTTCAAGCTAATTGTGCGTTATTAACATAGGGTGCTATTAAAATAGGTATGGGTACTAGGGGGACAGGGGGGCTCAGGGGGTCGTGCCCCCCTAAAAAGTTCGAAAGACGCCACGTAGCTATATGTAATAAAACTTTTTATTTGTGTAAATCAAAAAAGAGAAATAAGTAATTTATTATAAGCTGACCTTCGGGGAAGAGACTTTCCAAACCATAAGGCAACCCTGTAAATGATTTAACAAATTCAATCGTATGCATTGTTTGTGTCATTAAAGTAATAATTCCATTCTTTTTGTAAGTTTAATTTCGTAAGAAAAGATGTCATATGAAAAAAGTTTTAATGGAAAGTGTTTGGGAGAATCCCAGAATTGCCTAGAAATGTAGTTGCTTCCCCCCCCATGGTTTTGGCGGCAAAGCCTGACATAAGCTGACGGACAACGATTATCTGAATATCTTTGAAGTCGTAAGACCACTATGTGTTATCGCACATGAATATTTAATATTGTAATGTTGTAATATATTGTAATACGTAATTTGTAATTTATTACAATATTTATATAATATCAAAATACATAATCTCACGTAGAAGCAAAAAAAAAAAATGAAATATTTAGTTTTGTAACGAAAACCGGTTATATAAGCAATACTAACCAACGTAGCAACATGTCTCGCACGTTGGTAAAGGCAAGACTTAGCTAACAAAAATTGCTCTATTTTAAGTTCTGCACTGAAAATTATACGGTCTGACGTTTTCCACTTCCCATTCGTGACATTCCAACACGCTGCGCATTATTACTTTCTTTGGATTTTATGTGAAAAACGTACGACTAATTTACTACCAAATCTAGTTTTATGGCCTATACTATTATTCCTCTTCTATGATTAGCTGCGTTTTGGAATCTTCCTCTAGTAATTTGAGTCTTGCAATTAGATCATTGAATAAAACAGTGTTGTTTCAAATGATTCTGTTTAAGTTTAAGCGATAGATTGGGCATTCTATTTTAATTACTTTACTTTGAACTTACTCCGCACAGTCTTTGGAGGTAAAGCAATTTAATTTATGTTAAACGACCATAACAAAAAATCTACATAATTAGTTTTTTTTGTTTTTTGACATGTCAGTTCATTAACAAAATGAAATTTTACTATTTCTTTCGAACCACTTACGGCTTAGAAAAATAGCATGGACTTTCTCAGAAAAACAACGGAAAATGTTTTGTTGTGTTCAAAAAGGAGAAACTATGCCAATTCGGTCAAGGAGCATTGTCACTGGTGTTGGCAAAGAGCCTGGGCCACATTAAGTTACGACATCAAATTAGGGAAGGAGTGATTTTGTCAGCTGAAAAATTGATGCGATGTATTATGTTCCTTTGGAATGCTTCTATAAGATTTTGGACGTGTTTCAGCTATTCGAACGATCGAAGTTATTTTTAACTTTTTATTTTAACATTTCTGTTGTAAGGACATATAAAAATCGTTATTGAAATATCTTTTAATATTAGAAATGTGGATACAATTTAGTTAATTATTCCACATAATGCAACTAACTAGACTATACTACATTCGGCCGATAATAAATGAGTTAATTTTTCAATAGTATACACCTTTCTTCGGCCTACCATTCTTTTACATTGCTGTCGCTCCAATGTTTAAAGGTTCAAAAGAATCATTCGAAAAAATTAATTTTAGAAAAAAAATTGCTCGACAACTAATAATACATTCTATCTTTTTAAAGACAGTAAAAATTATTTTTTTGCCTTATTGTGAGTGAAAGAAGGCCATTAGGGAAAATAGCCGGACGAAAATTAATTGAAACAAGAATCCCTTGTCAGCGTAGTCGCTTTAACAACCTTCGAAGAGAAAAATAACATTCGACCCCACAATCTTATTCCGAAATTACTTTTATTGTTGTTAACGAAGTTACTCTAACAGCTTGTAATATACAACAAATATACAAAATATTTTTATTGACTTTTACGGTTTTCCGCATTTTAGAAAACCACTTTTGATTTTATTTAAGAGATTGAATATTTAGACAGCTAGCATTGAATGGTTAGCCCACAGATTCTGTCTGTCAAGTCCCACAGAACGTTTAGAACGTGTGTACGTTGTGTTTGCTAAGTTAACTGTTCTGACTCTACAAGCTCCCCCCTGGGATTTTGTCGACATTTAATCCGCAAATGATAAATCAATACAACTTCTACTCAAAACACACACACAGACAAATTTGAAAATGCAATCCTAATATGGTATGTTGTATTCATATGAGCTCTCGAGAAAACTAAATATTTCCCTTTTTCAGATCGAATTTCTCCTTAGAAGTAGCCGAGTGGTACTACTTGCTAGATTGAGCCAAATACTTCAGGGGCCCAAATGTGTATGTTTTGCGTTAATTATCACGCAACCTTCTCCAGACCGCGCGTGCATGAGCGTGCGTCTGCTCAGGACATCAACTAATGCCCCTGCAGCACCTCTGACCGGGAGGTCCGAAGGTTAGAGACTCGACAGTCGCAGAATTGTCGACAAGAGTTAAATGGCTACATAGTTGCCACAGCTGGAGGGATACCCCGCAAGCTGACTTGCAGGTCGGCGCCAGGTCTCCCATCCGGTGGGGAAAGAACACCGCCACCTCCCTTGACACAACCCGTACTACACTCGCGGGACAGCGACCACGGGTTACGCGCCCGGAAACTCGAAATAATGAGCGCCTCAAGCGTGTACTCGCCTCCGTTGTGCATGGGCGCTAACTCGATGCAGTTGGTGGCAGTGAGGGCGGCGCCAGTGACCGCTGCCGCGGCGGCGGCGGCGGCGGCAGCGGCAGCGGCGGCGGGGTCGCTGGCGCTCGAAGCCGCCGTCGTCGCGCTGGCGACGGTCTTCTTGCGCCCCAGGTACCCCTTCTTGAACAACACATCCTGACGAGGCGTTGTTATCTTGGTGTACTCTTCTGCAACACAAACCAAAAGACGTGCGTAAGTACGCGTGGCTGTGCTCTCCTGGAGGGATTGAGTCAGCTTGAAAATATTATTTCGGAAACTTCACACTATGAAACAATTTTGCGCCTCTAATAATGTACCTTGCTGCAAATTTCATTTTTAGTTTTCGACAAATTTGAAATAGAACCACTTGGGCAGGCATGCTGAGTTTCCGTATAAAGAATGCATGCTAACGCACTTCAAACTATTTATCTGTGGATAATAGTCTACACCTTCATTTACGTCTGCGAAAAATGAGAAGCAAGTCCTTTACTGCGTACGAATAACTAAGCACGGACACGCACTCTAAAACTCAACGTGTCTTTGATTGCCAGCAGATATATTGAATGAAAATTTGCCCATTTAAATTGACAGGCGACATTGGATCGTAACCGAGTAAAAACTTCACGGTACTAACTCAAATAACACACATTGATGACAGCCTTGTAATGTTACGTTCCAGACTCGGCAATTCAGCAGAAATGATAGTAAATAATAATAATAATAATAATAATAATAATAATAATAATAATAATAATAATAATAATGTTTGTATGTATTTGGGTCTTTTAGGTCTTTGTTTAGGGTCGGATTAAACAGACTTTTGACAGGTAGCGGCGTCCCCAGGCATGGGCACTTTATTTGTTATCCACGCCTAGGGTTAAGGGAGACATGAGGCGAGCATGACCCATTCCCTTCACCGTATCTAGCATACTTGGCCTCTCCCAGATTTTTTCGTCGCGGATTATCATCATCATCATCATTATTATCATTATTATTATCAAAACATTTTTTCTGACGAGATATAAGAAGGAAAACCATGACCATGACGAATAACCGGTCATTGCAGCATTCCATTTCAAAAACTAAGAGAAAACGCAACAGTTACACATATGCAGATAAAAGGCTAGCCGATAATTCTAGCAAGAACTTTAAATTACAGTGGTTAGTTTTGGTTTATCAATGTTAAACTAATGTGTATTATTACCAGACAAGAAAACCGATGAATGTAGACTATTACACATATTCCCTAAGCGACTTATTAAGTTCTGAGGAATTTAGAAAATTAACTCTAGAAGCAAGGCAAAAGTGCTGCGTCATAAGGCAGTATGCATGCATTGATCTTAAATTTTAAGTTGAGTTCTTGGACTACATGATTTTAAAGATAGATGTGTGGAAGCGCGCAGAAAATTTGCTGTAGCTTTTCTTTTAATTTCCTGAACAGACACTTTTCTCTTTGAAAATAGCGGCGAACAATTTATGAAAAATTCTACGGACTTTCGAATTCCAGTAAACAGATATACATCCAAGAGAACTTTGCAAATAAAATATAGGAAAAAGCAAGAGTTCTAATTCAGTAGAGTCGCATCCACTTCATCAGAGGCGCTCAAGAAATCATCTACACGTAGAGTACAAAGGAAAGGAATTTGTCAATGACGATTCCAGTGACTTTAGTCGAAAAAGCGAAAAAAACATTCTAATTGAAAGAAAAAGCGTACGCTAGTTTGGAATCTATGTTTTAAGAAGCGTGGGATATGCACTGTTCTATTTTTTCTGGTCCAAATACGCTCCCGAAAAAGTGGTTTGCGGTCTAAAGTACTTTGACGGTTTAATAATTTGTGTGTCTCCTTCCAGATCTTTGCGAATGAAGTTACTTACAAATCAGTAATGAAGATTTCAAATCTTTACTCTAAATTATTTTGAAATTAAAAATATGAACAAATAATCTTACTAAACTCGTCACATTCAATAACTTTTGCGGTCTAAAACTGTGATTTTGAATAAGTTAAGAGTGTAGAAATTTTCACTAATATTGCTATTGATATACTTCTCAGTAAGGGAAAACGTCACAGTAACTCATACTGTGTACCCCAAGTCTTATCTTTAGTTTATTTATTACCAAAATAGACTTATTAAACCGCGAGTGAGACTATGTCTGAATAACTGTCGTATCAGATTGCATGTTACAAAAGGACGGATGAATCTGTAGCATTCACATTTTAGTCATTTGAGAGCTGTACAGGCCAATCGTAGTTTAATTACGTAGAACGTCAGACGCACGGGGCACCTCATATAAAAGACCTTTACGACCGAGCCCGTTACGCTATCGTCAGCAACGCTTATTAATTGATCACACCTACAGGCACGCCCATTCGCTGGCACCAGTAACCCACCCCATCCCTCCATCCCTCGCACCTGATGGTCCACGACCCGCACACACCCGCACACAGATGCCCCGGCGACAGCCTTTTTACTCCGACTCGTCACTTCGACCTGGCATCTGACTCCGCGATCTCTCCATCTGTTCTCTTAACGTGCTTTCGACAGACCCGCTTTCGACAGACGCCCGTTTCTGATTTCTGCACCTCCGCCCTCTGAAGACCCGGCCTCGTCTCCCTGCCCCAACTAAGTTGCGTCACCCCAATTCATTTCTTCCCCCCGATTCCTTCCCTTCCGTCTGTCTTACCGTTCAGCCTCTCCAGGCCCGACACCACCACTTTTCCACCATCCACATTTCTCCATCGCGGCCGCATCCCCGCCCGCTCCGCCCATCCCCGCCCCCGCCGCCCGCTGCCGCCACGCGAGCAACGTCCCGCGGAGTTCCTCGCCTCTCCGCACTTTATGGAAACAGTGCAGAAGAAATTAACGAGGAATTTGTACCCGCTGGAAACGCATTGTCTCGTCTTGCTGTTAGCTGAGAGCGCTACTGACCACGTTAGAATTCCCCGTGCGCGTTCCGTCTGCTGCGCGTCGCCGCAGTCCGCTGGCCCAGCCGCCGAGATGAGGCGGGACGGGGGGCGGGCGGGGCGGGGCGGGGGCGGGCAGGCTGGCAGCGCGGCATGCTGGCGCGAGGCAGATCAATTGAGCGCCGGCGCTGGAAGGCGGAGCTGCGAGCCCGAAGGTGGTGTGATGGGTGTAGGTGGTGCACGGGTTCCCAGCGCTCTGCCGAATTGCAGCAGAGACGATGTCCAACGAAACGAGTAATTAGCTGCGTCATGAATCTGCTTTTTTGTGAAAAGTTGGGATTAACTCCGCGGAAGGAAACGTGAAGGTTCGCTTCTAAGAAGCAGAGCTACAATCTTTTGAATTTATGAATTGTGTAGAACTCTCATCACTCTTATAAACGATGGCGGAAATGTTTGATCATAAGAAAGTCATCAAATGGAAACATCCTGTTGCCAATTCTCATGTTTAGTTTTGAGAAGCTTTGATGTATAAAAAGTATTAAACGCCCGCTACTACTCCGCAGTTTGAGGTAATTGGAAGTAAATAACAGTTCGTTACTATAATTAGTCAGATATATACCCAAGTCAACTAAAGTCAACCTATTACTTGTTCATGTCTGCTGAAAGTTGAGTAACATCCTATAGCATGAAGCACTTTCCCGAGCGAGCTGTGGCTGGCATTGAGAAGTGATTACCATCTTTGGATAAATGCGATCGATTTTCAACCAGGGGAACGATAAGATATTAAAAGTAGCGAAGGGGAGGGTGTTCCCTGTAACGATAGTAGCGCTTCCGTTTCCATAGTTTGCCTTTCCATTAAGAGTCTCACAAATCCCCCCCTAAAATTATAACCATTCAACATTTGATTGACGTTAGAGCTTCGTAAAAAGAAAAGCGTAAATTAAGACTACCAATCTGGAATAAATAGTATAGGAAATGGATATACAAAGAAGCGAAATGCGATGCTAAGAAAGAAATAATGCAAAGTGTCTACAAAAAATGATGCAAATGAATAATTTAGAACTCTTGTAAAACAGTAAAGTATTATAGATGTGCTCAATTTTATGAAGGTAAATTATACCCCAAACATTAAATAATACATAAAATTTTTGCATAACTTGTTTTTCTATATTTATTGAATAAATACAATAAATAAATGTGATGATAATGAATAAATATAATGAAAATAACATTAAGAAAAAATGTTTAAATAGTTGTTTTTTTGGAGATAACGGAATTTTGAGTACAGGAAAAAAGCCCTGAGCAGCGATATAACCAAGTGCTATATTGCTTGAATTCATCTTTCTCATGATAATAGATTTAAACTTGTGCCCGAACCAAAACAAAACCATTAGTACCATTAGTATTTACATATTTATTGTTTTACAGAAAATTAACAAATCAAAAATATTTTTTTAAATATTTTTTCTTCACGAATGATTATTTTGCATGTTTAGTTTTGATAGCACTAGCTGTATATTTATGAATTGTAACAAAAGAGTCAGAGGTTTACCTTACATAACACTCGAGATATGTTTCAGGTTTCCAATGACTACCAAAAAGTCGTCTTTCGCGTAAATGACTTAAGATTTTAATGCAATAGAAAGCTCCAGGTTTATAGGTTATGCCTTCTTTTTCTATGTCTATATCTTCTCTTATTTTCTTTATTACTCTTTAAGTATATTCTTCTATTATTTATCGTCTGTTTTTGGCTGTCATTTTTAGGGGAACTACGCCCCCTTTCGAGAAAAAAAACAACGAAAGATCGTACAATAAAACTGGTTTCGCCAGAGAACATATCAAAAGGTTCTGATTCAGTTCAAAGCGAAAAATACAATTTCCGGCGATTTTTTCTTATTTTCGAGGTATACTATACCGTAATAGGACAAATCAAAGTTTATTAAACACATGAAGTTATTATTTCACTGGGACCATTGTTCAGTCAATTCTTACACCTGACCGAGAAAATTAACTTTGCATCTATGTCAACAGTTGATTACGTTCGTGCGTTCTCTCTCGGGAAATTTAAACTTAAATGGAATTGTGAATGTCCATGAAATCGGAATTACTTTACGTCATGTTGCGAATTATCAGTGTGTAGTTTGTGGTGTTTCAATGACATAACCCAAAACAAGTTACTTATTGTTGAAATTAAATCAGAAAGATGTTTTAATATCCATTAATATTAGTTTTAATGTTTCTGTTCGTTCGTTTTCGAAAAATCCTCTTACTAATAAAGAAAAACC